TGCGTGTTATACGCCGATAAATATGGTAAATATTTGAACATTATCTCAAACTAATTTGGTTTTTTTATTTTCAGAATCCATGTGATGACAGACGACATCGTGATATTTGGTCTAGAGACAAAACTTGCGGCCACCTACCAAAATTTCTTGTGATTGGACCCCAGAAAACAGGTAAGAGAATTATACAGTTAAAAAAAAAAACATAATAGAAACAACAACAATGGCTTTTAACAATAGTGAAACAATTTTGTAAGTCTACTGAACTGGAAAAGCCATGAGAAACAATTTAGGCTCTTTTTTCCAGGACTTGCAAACTACCATTGTTTTACCAATAATATGGCTTTTTCCCCCCATAATAGTAATTATAGTAGTTTTAGAATGTTCAATGTAAAACATTTCTAATACAATTAATGAATATAAATTGCTAATATTAGCAAAGTTGTATTATAAATATATAGAATTTTTTAAGAAAAAACAATTTAACTTAATTCTTTGACATAAACTTACATAAAATTAATATATCATTCCATAAGTGGGATTTTTTTCTTGCTCTTGGAATATATCTCTTGAAAACCATTCTTTATTTTTTTAATGCCTCTTTAAATTAAGTACTGCATTTTTCTGCATTATTATATAATCCTGACTACTTTCCTTTCCTTGTAGGAACAACAGCACTCTATTTATTTCTCCTTATGCATCCCTCCATAATTAGTAATCTTCCTAACCCAAAAACCTTTGAGGAAGTTCAGTTCTTTAATGGAAACAACTATCATAAGGGAATTGATTGGTAAGAATATTAAGACAAGTTTTTAGCATATACTGAATCTCAGAGAATTCATTATAGAAGTATTGGCAATACCTAAATACTTTTCAGATGAATTTTCTGGGCACAGTGCCATATGTATCAGTCTGCAATTAGGTGAGATGAGATTTTTTTATCTAAGTATGATTTTCTTTATTTGACATTATAATACAATTATTTGTATTCTTTATAATCAAATGCCATTCAGAAAAGAGCTGTATAACTTGTTTTGCTTGTTAGTCGTCTCTTTCCATTAGTTTTTAATTTTGTGTTCTAAATGCCATATAAATAACAGTAATAAAGAACAGAAATTATAGACTGAAAATATTTAAGAAAAAAAGTAAAACTAATCAGAATTATCATATCAATGTAAATTAATAAAGATTCTATATTTAAATATACCTGTCTGGTTTTCTGCCCCATTTCAAAAATATTATAAAGCCGCCGAGGAAAACAGCAAGACCAGGCAACTTACATTATTACAGCACTGATTTTTTTTTAAAAAAATTACATGACAAGATGTTAAAGAGGATAATGAAAAAGGCTATTCTAAAGATGCTATTCACAGTATATATGGGTCAGTGGTGGGATACAATTTTTTTTTTACTACCGGTTCTGTGGGCGTGAGTTGGTGGGCATGGTGGGCGTGGTGTGGCTTGGTGGGCATGGCTTGGTGGGCATGGCAAGGGAAGGATACTGTAAAATCCCCATTCCCTCCCCACTAACCTGCTTTCCAGCTCCGTTCTCCTTTTCAGGGCAACAAAAGAAGAGCCAGCCAATCAGCTGGGACTCGGGAGGCAGAGAATAGATGAGGGCAGGGCCAGTCAAAGGTGGTATTTGTCAGTTCTCCAAACTACTCAAAATTTCCACTACTGGTTCTCCAGAACTGGTCAGAACCTGCTGAATACCACCTCTGATATGTGTACTTAGAAGTAAATCCCAATCGATCCATTAAATGCATCAATAAATGTATCAGAAGGAGAAAAACAGCTTCAAAGAATACTTGGGCAAGAAAACTGAAAGTAAAAATCTAAAATAATGCAAATATTTCAGCATTTATAATAGAACTGGTATGGAACTTTGGAGAATGATACATGCACAATTCCATGGTCCTACTTAAAAAGTCATAACATACTGTAAATAATAGACAAGAAATGGCAATCAGCATGCTCAAAGGCAGAGGTGGGATTCAATTTTTTGTGGGCATGGCTTAGTTGGTAGGCGTGGCTTAGTTGGTAGGCGTGGCTTAGTTGGTAGGCGTGGCTTGGTGGTCATGCTATTGGCTGGGTGTGGCCAACTCAATATCACTCACATCGAGGCATGCATCTCCTCGCCTGGCCTCTTATGACTGTGGGAATGCTGCAACAGTCATAAGTGTGAAAAATGGTCATAAGTCACTTTTTTCAGTGCCATTGTAACTTTGAATGGTCACTCCACACAAGCAAAGTACCAGCAAAGGAGGGGAAAAAAACTCCAGAGACGTTCTTGAGACAGGAAGTCTAGTCCTGCCAAGAATGTAATAAGGGTTAACGGAGAGGCAGTTTCAGTAAGCAACACCAGAATGTTTCCTTCCTGCCTTCCTTACAGGATTAGGCCAGTAATTTGTTTTAATAACCGGTTCTCCGAACTGCTTAGAATGTTAACAACCGGTTCCAGCGAATAGGTGCGAACTGGGAGAATCCCACCCCTGCTCAAAGGCCTAGAACTACTCCAATATGTAAAATGTGGCAAGTCTGGAGGATTTTAATTTAGAATAAAGAGAGAGAAATTGTACAATATACTCTGCTTTAATAAGGACTTCTCAAAATAATAGCACCTTAGATCATACATTTATATTTACTTTCACTTAGATACATATACCCCTTCTCTGTGTTTTTCAAAAGTTTATTTTGGCAAGGTGAAAAATGACTTTTTTTTTTAACCCTCGTCATTGCTGGTTTTGTACTTTTACTTGCAGGTATATGAATTTTTTTCCTACCCCTTCAAATATCACTGCTGATATATTGTTTGAGAAAAGTGCCAACTATTTCCATTCTGAAAATGCTCCCAAACGTGCAGCATCCTTGATACCCAAAGCAAAAATCATCACCATCCTCATTGATCCATCCGACAGAGCCTATTCCTGCTATCAGGTAAGATTCTCCTAATGAAAAAGGTGAGTTCACAATTATAAAAAATCAGACCAAAGCCATCACTTTCACAGCACGCTAACTATTTATAGTGCTTTATTTAATGTGATAAATTACACAGATGAAGCAAATAATGTGCTTTTGTCTGCTGTCATTGCCATCAGAAGGCCCTGGGAAAAAACCATTAGCAACAGCAATAGCACTTAGACTTATATACTCCTTTACAGTCTTCTCTAAGCGGTTTACAGAGTCAGCATATCACCCCCAACAATCTGGGTACTCACTCCATCTACTCACCTCCGAATGAGGAAAGGCTCACGTTGAGCCTGGTGAAATTTGAACTACCAAATTACAAGCAGTCAGCAGAAGTAGCCTGCAGTACTGCACTCTAACTGAAGCAGAATGGAAAGTTACCAGAAAAGTATTCTCATAATTAGCAGAAGTTTTCCTAGCAAATATTATGGAAGTTGCTTAATACAATATTGTGTAAACCACGAAATTACTGAACCAAAGAACTAGACATGTTCCAGTAAACAAGGGTGGGTATGGAAAATAAGGGAGGGTGTAAGATAAGTACACATATGCTGAATTGTGTAAAATGACTAATTAGATTTACTTCTCCTTTCTATAATACGTATGATATGGTATAGCTTGATAAGAAAAATGCCCCAGGCTAGGCTAAAGCTGTGAGATGTATAAAAGTGACACCTCAGGAAGAGCCGGGGGTTCAGAATTTGCCATGCTAATGCTCTGAACCTTATGCGCAAATAAACCTGTATTCTCCTACGCTTCGTGGTCTTGTGTCCTGATTTGGAAACAGGATCTGCTGCAACATAACCACTGCGCCACCACGGCTCATTAGCAACGGGCTCCATATCACTGCAACAAAATGTTGCCTAGTTCTATCCTAGCTTTTGTTACAACCCCCTGCTCTGTTGCAGTATTAATAACCCAAGAGAATTTCAGATGATGAAATTTGAGTTTAATTGATGATGACAGTCTGAAATCTACAACTCTGCATAATTCCCAGTTCTTTCATTTTTTAAATCCTACTCACTTAGTGCCCATATTACTGAAGCTAATGACTTCTATTGAGGCACTCTGTGATAATCAATTACCGCTATCTAATTAAAACCATCATCATTTAAAACTTATAAAAGCCTTAAGAAAATTGTTCTGTGATTTCCCTTATGTGTGACTGCATGATCTTCATAGAACTGTAGAGATGGCGGGGACCACAAGAAATCATTTCTTGCAATCTTTTGCGAGGAAAACAAGAAGGAAGGAAAGTAAGAAGAAATATTGATTTCTCAGGAGAACACATATCAGAACTCCAGAAAAGATCCCATACCTTAAAACATAATTATATCTTATATCTCTAGAGAAAGAAACACAAAAAAGAGGTTCACTCAAAGGTGTTAAAGGGAGATTTTATTCAAAATTTGTAAAGAGGATATTTGAAATTGAATCTACATAGGACTTTAAAACTCAAAAGCAGCGTTTTATATTCACCTTGTCACTGAACTACGTATGTATGTACTACACAGCAAGTGTAAGTGCCTCAAAATGCTAGACATAGCTTCCCAATATATTTTTTATCATCATAATGTTATTGCAGGGGAAAAAAATAAGATTCTTGGGTATCTAAAAACTGACCATTTGTGATAGGATCATTTTTTGTGGTACATATACCCTAGCAAACCTATTAGACTTCCAGGCACTCTGAGATTTTTATATATTATATTTCACTATATTGTATTGTATTTCATTAGAGGAAATATAACTAAAAAATCAACTAGACTTGGTAAAAGGCACTAGTAACGATTATTAAGACACTCTCACCTATCTATCCTGTGGTCATTTAACTTTGGATTTTTCCCAATTAGCATCAGCGTTCCCATGAGGACCCCACTGCTCTAAAGTTCAATTTCTATGAAGTAATTACTTCAAATGATGCAGCGCCATCTGAACTAAAAGGCCTACAGAAGAAATGTTTGATTCCTGGCTGGTATGCTGTCCACATAGAAAGGTGGCTAAAATATTTCCCCTCTTCACAGGTAAATTGCCTTTTCACTAAATAATTTTTTTGTGGTAAGTGTCCATCGTTACTTTATAACTTGTGTAATATTTAACATGTTTAATAATGGATTGTAAGATGTTCAGCAATGAACTGATAAACCTCTCGTTCTTTTCCTTAAAACACAAAGTTATTCAGACACAGACATTAATTTATGTCCTAAAATGTAGAATTGCCTTCAGAAGAACTGAGATTCATACTGAGGAAATTAGAACTATTTTTTTGTAGAATAAATCTAGAAGTTTCAAGGAAAGAGACTTAGATAATAAGCATTAGATTTCGGCTGTAATCCAAAGTTTCTAAGTAGGTAATTTTATGCTAACCAGTCTCATTATTATTAGGAAATAAAAGAAGTCTGCATCAGTGGTGACAGAAGATAAAGAAGACATGCAATAAAAAACTGTTCAGTGAACTTCAAAGAATAATGTGCATATCTAATTTCTAGAATTAATATTTCTGTCTTGGAAAGCATTTTCACCAGTGTAGACCAATCTTGAGCTAGGAAGATTGGGAGGCAGACCAAGACAGCTTGGCATATCAGTAGTGGTAGAAGAGGTTTCTGTTTACTACTATTTGCATTTTGGTATCATCATAGAGGAAAGAAATCGAGTGGTGCAGTGGTCTAGAGGTGGAACTCTTGCCTCACAATCAGGAGGTTGTGGGTTCAATCCTAGGTAGAGGCAGATAGTTATCTCTGGGCACAATGAGAATTTATCTGCTGAATCAAATTCCACATTGGTGACAGGAAGGGCATCCGGCCAGTAAACACTCTGTTCCTTTCAGTTGCCCAGATGCCACTCCACTAGGGATTATGGGATCAATAAAAGGTGATGATGATAGAAGAAGGAAATCCTAAATGAAGTTAATGACTTCAGACCAGTTGAATTGAATCAACACTTGTATGTGACGCATATGTTCTATCTGGTTTCTTGAAAGCTGATTCTTGATCCTGTCCTATTGTTTCTTTTATTTTTCTTATATGTATCCATGTATTCATAACTATGTTTCTACTTATACCTATTATCTTGTAAGCAATAGACAAACAAACCAAATAAATAAATAAATAAATAAATAAATAAATAAATGAATGAATGAATAAATAAATAAATAAATAAATAAATAAATAAATAAATAAATAAATCTTTACATGAACTGGAGTAAAGAGTGAGCCGCTGTCAGCCAGTTGGGTAATTTACCTGCACAGTTTTCACTTTGCTATATCAGTTGGCTAACTAGTTTTAGACTTTTTTCACCTTGTATAATAAACTTGTTTAAATTTTGTCTCAAAAGTGTGAGAATCCAAACTATATTGTGCATACATACACACACACACACCTGTTCATATCTACTGCCCTTCTAAGCAAACATGTACAAAAATGATAGACATTAAGACAGACAACTGGCATAAAAGCCTTCACTCTCTATTTATGATAAGCTTACTTTTTTATAATACTATTTTAACTGAGAAATTTTGAAGTGTGGAATTGACATTGACTTCAGGGATTTTAAGGGGAAAGTCTTATTGATTACCTTATTGAACTCACAATTTTATCATGCTTTCAATCAGCAAAGTGACTTTTCAGACCGAAAAACCCTAAAGCAATTGGGTAATCAAACTTTCCAGTTCTGCTTCTAAGCTCAAGCTAAGTTGTTAGTATCTGGTTCATTTATCACTGATTCTATTTCTGAATCCATTTACTGAAATTATTTCACAAACTTTGTGGAACAAATCTGAAATTGGCTTTATCCAGAGCTGTCTAGAGTATGGATTCTGTCTCATTTTATAAATAAGAATTATTTTTATGTATTTATTCTTAAAGAAGTTCAGTGTATTGTTCAGAAGTTCAGTGTATTGTTTCTGGGACTTATTTGGGAAATTCTATTTATTTCAGAATTGTTAATTCTCAGAGCAGGAAATTTTAATTTTCTAAGTTTAAGTTTATGCCACTAGGCATACTTTCCTTTTTCAAAGAAGGTTAATAAATGCAAACGTTTTCCTATTGCAATTTGGTCTCAGGGACTATCTTAAGATTGTCCTATTTGGTCCTTCTTTTAAAATTGGAACGTGGAATTATTTTCCTAGTATTTAAGAAATGCAGGACAGTGACCAATAGTACTCCTACTCAGTGATGGGATTCAAATTTTTGTACTACCAGTTCTGTGGGCGTGACTTGGTGGGCGTGGCAGGGGAAGGATACTTAAAATCTCCAGTCCGAGGTATTTGCCGGTTTTCCCGAACTACTCAAAATTTTCTCTACCGGTTCTCCAGAATTGATCAGAACCTGCTGAATACCACCTCTGCTCCTACTCCAGTTTGATCACTATGATCATGCTCAATTAATGGCATCTGGAAAAACCAAATTTGACAAGGCCGCCCAGACGTGGTATTCAGCAGGTTCTGACCAGTTCTGGAGAACCAGTAGCAGAAATTTTGAGTAGTTCGGAGAACCGGCAAATACCACCTCTGATTGCCACACCCACCAAGCCACGCCCACAGAACCGGCAGCAAAAAAAATTGAATCCCACCACTGAGGTCACCTAAAACAATCTTAACTCCTCACAACTGATGTGTTTGTCTTGCTATGCAGCAATTTCATACTTCCTTTGAGTTTTATATTTAAATAAACAACTAGCGTTATCTCTACAGTTGTTAATAATTGATGGACAGCAATTAAGAAGTGACCCAGCTACTGTGATGGATGGAGTTCAGAAGTTTCTGAGCATTTCTCCTCATTATAATTATTCTGATGCATTAACGTGAGTTGCATTTCTTTGTATGTATCTTTCTTTTGCATTAGTTTCATGTTATGCTTGTGGTAGTAGTTCACTTTTTAAAAAGTCTGTTAATAGACTGCAAATATGAAGATAAGGAATTGCCTAGCTGTGATTGCTTTTTGTGACTTCTAGACATTTTTCTTATTTCAAGGGGCGATAGAAATGGACATTACTGAAATAAGAAACAGTACACCTGTTGTTATCTGCATTAATTAATTGAGCCTCTGTGGCACAGTGGTTAGAGTGCAGTACTGCAAGCTACTTCTACTGCAACCAGCTGCCTACAATTTGGCAGTTCACATCCCACCAGGCTCAAGGTTGACTCAGCCTTCCATCCTTCCGAGGTGGGTAAAATGAGAACCCAGGTTATTGGGGGCAATATGCTGACTCTGTAAACCGCTTAAAGAGAGCTGTAAAGCACTATAAAGCAGTATATAAGTCTAAGTGCTATTGCTATTAAGAAAAACCTACTTTCTGCTTTAACAGCTAATATTCCATCTTATATCATTGTGACCAACGAATTCTAGAGAGCATAATAAAAAGGTGGTCCTCGACTTATAGCAGTTCGTCTAGTGACAGTTCAAAGTTACAATGGAAAATGGAAAATGTGACTTACGACCATTTTTCAAAGTTATGATCTAGCATCCCCATGGTCAGACAATTAAAATTCAGATGCTTAACAACTGACTCACATTTATGACAATTTCACTGTCCTGGGGTCATGGGATCAGCATTTGTGACCTTCCAACAAACAAAGTCAATGAAGAAGCTGGATTCATTTAACAACCGTGTGACTAATTTTAACAACAGCAGTGGTTCACTCAATGGTAGCAGGAAAGGTCATAACATGGGGCAAAATTTACTGAGTAAATATCTCCCTCAGCAACAAAAAAATTAGGCTCTGTTGTGTTCGTAAGTCGAGAACTACTGTAGTGAACATTAAGCTCCTTTTAATAGCTTCATAATGTGCTAGCCCCGTGATGTTGAACCTACATTCTTCAAAAAAAATCTACCAAAGAAATAATTATTACAATTAAACATTTTCTTCCAAATATATTTCTTGGAAACAAATATATTGTTTGCAATCTAATTCTACAGCTTCATTTCTTTTCTGGGGCAGAGCAAGCAATATTATTTCTCCTCTTGGGAAATTACTGAAAACCATCAAAAGGCCTTTGCAATGCACAAGGAAGGCTGGAATCCAAGCTAGAAGTGAACTCCTCTCAGCGTATCCATTTAATCAATGATTTATTTAGTTTTAATTGATGCCACTACTAAAGATTATTTGGGCGGTGAGGATTAATGCAGTAATAGACTGAGCTGGAAAAGTAATTTCTCTTTTATCTGAAATGTGCTTTCGTGAGTGTATATATAGGAATATTGCTATTATTGGAAAAAGCCCAAGGCAAAAAAAAAAGTGGGAGCAAGCTCATTATTGCTATATTCCAACCAATAATTCATTGGCCTTCCAAGGCATCTGCCAAATTTAATTAAATTCTCAGTGTTTTTTACAGCTGCCTTTTTCACTCTTCTAAGTATGTCACGGGTCCCAAAACAATATATTCAATAGTAAAAAAAACTGTATCTGGTTTATTCCCTAATGTGCATTCTGAAATCCACTGAAATGTATTCATCCCCAACTTTGAAAAGTAAATTAACCACTCTCTGCCACAATGATCTTCTGCTTGTTGTGGGATGTTGTCCTCTTCCTATGCCCACCTTCACCTATGCAATATTTTAGGTTTGATCCTCAGAAAGGATTTTGGTGCCAGCTGCTGGATGGAGGAAAAATAAAATGTCTGGGGAAAAGTAAAGGCCGAAAATACCCTCCCATGGATCAAGAGGTATTATTTTAATTGAAACTTTAATGTTATTTAGTATGGTCTGAAAAAAGGGAAATTGTTACTATGGCCATCTGCATCAAAATCATTGAAAAGACGCATTTCTTACTGGGAAACAGTGTAAATGCAGTAGCTGAAAAAGTTACTGAAAAAGATTTATTCAGTTTAAAGAGGTGCACCACTCAGGCATTTATGCATTCAAGCAAACAGATAATCAGAGTTGGAAGGGACCTTGTAGGTTATCTAGTCCAACCTCCCACCCAAGCGGGAGACCCTACATCATTTCTGACAAATGGCAATCCAATCTCTTCTTGAAAGTCTCAAGTGATGGCGCTTCCACAACATCCAAGGGCAAGCTGTTCCATTGGTTGATTGTTCTCACTGTTAGAAAGTTTCTCCTTATTTCCAGGTTAAATCTTTCCTTGTTCAGTTTCCATCCATTATTCCTTGTCTGGCTTTGGAAAATAGCTTGACCCCTTCCACCTTGTGGCAGCCCCTCAAATATTGGAAGACTGCTATCATGTCTCCCCTGGTCCTTCTCTTCACTAGACTAGCCAAGCCCAGTTCCTGCAACTGTTCGTTGTATGTTTTAGCCTCCAATCCCCTAATCATCCTGGTTGCTCTTCTCTGTACTTTTTCTAGAGTCTCAACATCTTTTTTATAATGTGGTGAGCAAAACTGGATGCAGTACTCTAGGTGTGGTCTTACTAAGGCTTTATAGAGTGGTATTAGTACTTCCCTTGATCTTGATTGTATCCCTCTGTTGATGCAATTTAGGATTGCATTACCTTTTTTGGCTGCTGCTGCACACTGCTGGGTCATATTTAGCTGGTTGTCCACTAGGACTCCAAGATCCCTCTCACAGTTACTGCTATTGAGCCTGGTTTCACCCAGTCTATATGTGTACTTTTGGTTTTTCTTGCCTAAGTGTAGGACTTTACTTTTCTCTATATTGAATTTCATTTTATTAGATACGGCCCAGTGTTCTAGTCTGTCAAGATCCATCTGGATCTTGAGCCTATCTTCTTGAGTGTTAGCTATTTCTGCCAGCTTAGTATCATCTGCAGATTTGGTAAGTTCCCCTTCTATTCCCTCATCTAAGTCGTTAATGAAGATATTAAAGAGTACTGGGCCTAAGACGGAACCTTGTGGCACCCCACTGCTTTCTTCCCTCCATGTAGACTTAGACCCAGTAAGGACTACTTGTTGAGTACAGTTTGCCAGACAGTTGCGAGTCCATCTAGTGGTGGTGCTATCTATTCCACTTTTTTCTAGCTTACTAAAAAGTAGGTTGTGGTCTACTTTGTCGAATGCCTTGCTGAAATCTAAGTATATTATGTCCACAGTATTTTGCTGGTCTACTAATTTAGTCACTGTGTTGAAGAATGAAATAAGATTGGTTTGGCATGATCTGTTTTTAACAAACCTGTGCTGACTGCTAGTTATTACTTTACTTGTTTCTAGATGTTGGCAGATCTGTTTTTTTTAATATCTTTTCCAGTATCTTTCCGGGTATTGATATTAGGCTGATTGGTCTATAGTTTCCTGGGTCTGTTCTTTTTCCCTTTTTGAAGATGGGAACCACATCAGCTCTTTTCCAGTCCTCTGGTAGTTCCCCAGTGCTCCAGGATTTTTGAAAGATATGGTGCAGTGGTTCTGAGATGACCTCTGCCAGCTCCTTTAAAACTCTGGGATGTTATCCATCAGGCCCCGGTGATTTGTTTACATCAAGATCAGACAGGTGTTCTCTTACTATTTTTTTGCTTATTTTAACTTTTATTTCTGGTCTGTCTTTTACAGTTATGTTTTTGGTGGGTTGAGCTATAGTTTCTTTTTGCGTGAAGACAGATGCAAAGAATGAGTTAAGCAGTTCTGCTTTCTCTCGTAAGCATCCTTTGCAAATAATTTTCAAAAAATGTTCAACATAACCATATCATCACTGGGAGCAGTGTGAACTCTGCATTTGGGAAGAACTCTTGACAAGGACCCTTCCTTTTTCTTCTCTTTTTATTATTGACGCTCTCCTTTTATTTGTATTTTTTTTCGATGTAATCACAGAGAGCAGCCATTGCTCATTCTTGATCTTTTCATTGCTCAACTGAGCAAATAAAGGGCAGAGAAGGCCTTGAGGCCTAGAGGATTTGAAGGCTGGGAATAGTTTCTCCCACCTGAAGAAGCTTCTTGTGGAAGTGTAGGATACCCAACTTTTAATATTGCTCCTGATTAACATTACTCTTACTGTGAATATGTGACACCAACTATTCTTTTCCTATTTAATTTTCCATAAATACAAACTCAAAATAATTATTTGAACAAGTGGCTAAGTTAGTTGCCAAATTAGCCTCCTTTTTCAATAAATTGTATGGATTCAGATGCTGTTGTGGTTCACTGGCAGCAGGTGCAGATGGCTGAGGTCTCGGAGAGCGAGGCCTTGGATGAGGGCCCTGCGTGTGATGCAGGGATGGGGCCAGGACCATCAGGGAGTGGAGTGCTGCCTTTGGAGATTGTGGAGGATGGCAGCAGTGATGAAGAGGTTCCTGAGGAGCCTTTGCCCATTACACATGCACACAGGGCTGCTTGAAGGAAAGAGCAGCTGCAGCAGCACGGGCGACTCGAGAGTAAGGCTGCAAGGTGATGGCCCCTCCCTTAAGAGATAAAAGCCAGCCTGAGAGACCGGTATTCTTTGCAGGAAGCAAAGAAGTTCTTGCACTTCAAGCCTTGTGGAAGTTTGGACTATTAAAGGGTTAAAGGATGGGCTTATCCATGGATCGGTTTATACACGAGTATATATTTAAAATATTGGTACTTTAAAAAAGTGATGGATAAGCCCATCTGCAAATAAGCCAAGTCCAATTTTGGGGTGGATTGTGGCACCTAAAATTCTTGGCTTGTCCACAAGTATATGTGGTAATGGATCAGTGAATACCATTGTACAGGTGTTAGGCAGTGACCTAGATTTTGACACCAATAGCCAAACTGACTTCCCTTTCTTTCCTGCCTTTTCCTTGGCATGGGAAGATTTCTTCCCATTTGCTCAACATCCTGGAGATTGTAGAGTATATCATTGTTTACTTACAAGAAAAAGAAAAGGATTATATATGCCCATCTTCTGAAGCATATGGTTATGCAAGATAATTATGTTAGTTTTATATCCTGCTTTTCCTCCTAAAAATTCTAAACAATACATTGATAGTTCAGAATTATTTGTGCTGCAATAAGAACCTAAAATTAGACTGGGCTTATAATGAATGTCCATGTCTGAATATGAATTTAAACCTGCGTCTCCCCACTCTTAATCCGATACTTCAAACATTACAATCATACCTGTTCTTATATGCAGTTGATCTACAAGATCAGACAATTAATCTGTGATCAATTTATAGTTCGTTAATTCAAAAAATTATGAATAGTTAAATACATGTATCTCTCAATTTTTGTGAACCTTCTGCATAACTTAGAATTATCTTTTATGTCATGCGACCTTTTTACAGAAATGAAACATGAAACTAAAACATTTTTAACTATCTGAAAGTTTATTTTTTCCTCTTATTATTCTCAGTCTAGGGCATTCCTTTCAAATTACTACAGAGATCACAACGTGGAACTGTCTAAATTGCTGCACAGATTGGGACAACCTTTGCCATCCTGGCTAAGACAAGAGCTCCAGAAACTGAGATAGCACAGAACAGAAGTGAAACCGTTTTGTTCTGTCCTTCACTTCCTGGCTCACTCTCAGCTCTCAGTGGAAGATCTGGTGATATTAAGGATATTAAAAGAAAGGCTGCACCAAAAACAAGCAAATAAAACAATCAGAGCTTTGAAGTATTATCCTTTATCCTTTACGGGGTTCACATATATTCTGCATATCCTGAAACTGTACATATATGACTATATGACCTAGAGTTATCACCATGTATGACAAATTACAGTCTGTCAGGACAGTACAAAGAATGGATGCATCTCGCCATAGATTGCAAGGTTTGTGAAAAAAAAATTTTTTTTTTTGATAACTTCACTTTTAATCGGTGGTTTATTTTCCAAAGATATAGCTTTTAAAAGTAGACTTTGCTTTTCGTTTGCTTTCCTTTTCCTCGTTAATACTACTGAAAATATTTCAAACAGAAATATTCTAATCTTTAGCCAGGCGTTTCTCAGCTCTTTAGGTAACTGTTTAGTATGGTACAGTAAAACCATGCTATATTCTAGCTTTTAGTGTGCTGATTAAAACATATCTTTCAACTGAACACAATTACATGGAGAAAGAGAGTTGTTCAAACATGTTTTATAAGAAATTATGACTGATGAATGAAACAGTTTAGATGATTTAATAAATAATTGTCCTCAAAAACAGAGCTAATAAAACCCACCATAGAATGGAACAAGAGAGCTTCAGCTCCACTAAATTAACTATATCACTTGCTAAACAACGGTCCACAACTGTCAAATAGATAATTTATCTTAATGCTCCCCACATGTACACACCCTACATTCAACATTTCCAGTTGCTGAAATGTCCATAATAATATTTTAAAAGTATATTTCTTATTGTGGATTCCATAAACCCCACACAGTTGTTCTTCAGACAAGGGATGCTATTTGTCAGTCTTACTAATTTGATCCTCAAGATTCAAAAAAGGGTTAATCCTGTTGAACACTAGAGCAGGAAAAGAAAATCTATGGAGAAGTGCTACTCATTGTTCATGTTGCTTCTGAGATGTTCATGGAAATCTCACAGCATTTGTGAATTGGGCCTATTCACTTAGCCATCTTGAAACCAACACTGTTCATTATTTCCTTTTAGTTTTACTTCAATAATAGATTTTTTTAAAAAAAAAAAAACCTAAGAAAGAATAGTGGGTAAAAAAAAGGAAAAGCCATTGTCCTCCTCACTTCCTAACTAGTATAAAATGGTCTAATAAAGCTCCAGGCTCCATAGTATCCACAGGTCAAGTCAAGATATCAACTGCAACAATTGAAGGCTTGTGCCTTTTTTTACATGCATAACATTAAAAGCCTTAGTTGGGTAGTGTGGTTTTTTTAAATTGGATTTATCATTATAAGAAAATGAAACATTCTTGCTAAAGACATAGTTAACCACTTTATTAAAAAATACTAATTTTAAGGAGGAAAATTATTTTACTAAGATTTATCATCAACCTGGAAGGTAATAAAGTCTATACCTGGTGCAATAAAACTATGTTTAATTTGGCTGTTGGTCACATTCAGTTCA